ACATCAAACATGGCTGCTGGATTAGTTTACCGCGAGTATTTGTAATTGAATAATATTTTAGTTATCTTTTCCACGTACTTTTTTCAATTTATCTATTTTTTATGTCTAATCTTTCGAGAACATATCAGATTCTTTTATTTTGCCGATTGCTAGCATTTTTTTCTTGAATTCCAAAACAATGTGTGAAAACGCAACGTATCGTGGCCGTACATGCGTAAATGCATCTTACCGTCCGTCGGCACGGGTGAGTACTGATGCCACAAATAAAAATGTTATGGATTTTGTTTTGACAAATTGTCTGTTTTGGCTTCGTGGGCAAATCATCTCGTATATTTTCTACATTATAACTCAATTATGTTTTGTACTTGCTCTTGGTTCCTCGAATTGCATTTCATGAACGCAGAATAATTTGCGAACGCATAAATCACCGATTTCAAACTTTTTGCATTTCGTAAATATTGATAGTGACCAATGTGTTTGTATTTCAAAAAATTGTAACATGTTCCAATTAAATTAAATTAAATTAAATTAAAAAGAGAATAGTAAATAACTTAGTGTGTATTGCAGTTCATGTCATAAATGCGAGAATGCTGTATGTAAATGATATGCAAATTAATATGCAAATTTATGCTAATTAGGCCACCCACCAGCTAATTTGGATTGTGGAGAACACTGTACAGTAGTCACACAATGAGGCAGTTCATATTTGTCTCAGTGAATCATTCATTTTTGACAGACACCTGTACAAAATACTTGAACTAAAGCCAGCTAAATTTTTCTGTTATCTTGCATGTTTTATGAATCTATTCACATCTAAATGCAGCACTTTTTTTTTTGCAATGAGACATTTGTTTTTATTCTAAAATATCTCAATTACTTTCAATAAAGCTGGAAATTATGTTCCTTAAAATAATTAAACAAATAAGGCACCAATGTTTTTGTAAGATATTTACATCTTTTAAGGACATTCGATAGACTGATTCCCCACTGTTGGTTCAATCCCAAAACTTGTTTGTATTCAAAATTAATTATGACAATGCATATTTATATTGAAACAAACTATGATAAAGGGAATTATATTATATAACAAAGGGCAAGGTCACCAGAGTTCAACTATGTTTTTATTATGGCTGTGACGAGACTTCGAAACGCCTTTGCCATGGCCATGAACTGACTAGAAAGTCTGTTTGTATTTTCCACTTCCGTAAGCGCATGTCACTGCACTAACATCATTTCACTAAAAAATATTTGAATGCGCACGCTATTGTTAGATTTAATGGTGTGCATTCCACACCATCATTGTATAGTGAATAAAAGGATGACAAGTGATCAAGACTTGCATTGACAGCGAGTATGAGTGACAGGAACAGAACCAGATATTGTAATTGGTGTTAAGTACATTGAAGTTGACAAAAAAGAATACACATTTTTATTTAACTTGAAATTTTTTTTTTTTTGAAACAGAGAAGTAACTGTAGAGATGAATAGTGCAAATAATAAAATATAAGTCTGTTGTGGCAGTGGGCTGTTATGCGGCTGAGAAAAATGTTTGGGCATGTTTTACTGTTGTTTTGGGCGTGTCCATGAGTGGACAATATTTGAAGACGGTCGTCATTCTAAAAGGCCTGAAAAACATCCAAGTAAAATTTTCGTAATGCTTGCATGACCCATGAATCCATGGACACAGGGGTTAATAAAATTTTCCATGCACGAACCAGGGTTTTCTTTGACAGGAGCTGAAACCTTTTGCTTATGGACGAAGCAACGCCAAAGGGGGCGATCTCCTGTCCTTGTTAGAAAAGTACAACACATCGGTCAAATATATCCCATCCAAAAAAACAAGCTACCTGCAACCAGTAAATTTCAACGGACCATTTAGAATGAAACGACAGTGGCAGCGGTGGTATTTGCCGAAGGAAACAAACAATACACTCCAAAGGGATACCATAGTCGACCATCTTGGGAAACAGTCTTTGCCTTCGTAAGTGCCGCCGTTGAATAAATGCAAACTGACGTTTTAATTAAATTATTATTTTGGAAATAAAAATCTTTGCTTGCGTCCTTAGAGTGTAAAAATGTCTGAGTGCATCAAGAAGATTATAACAATTGCCCGCCCATATGAACAAGGTATTCTCCCTGATATCAGTTAGAAATAACAAATAGCAGCTCTCCACGCAATGGTGTATCATTTTACGCAGTTTATTGTTACACTGTACATTTATTTTGACAACAGATTTAAAAATACCACATACATGTATAACAGCTATTACATTTCTGTCATGAAAATTTTTCTTCTGTCTTTGGAGAAAAAGCAAATCTTCCTATTTCAAGCCCACAATGATATCCATATAGTGAGACATTCCAATCGCCAGAACTTGCTGAATGGTAACTTTCACCATGATTGATGAGTGTCTAGTCTGATAAGAAAGCAATGTTGACTTGACCTCTTTGATGAAACACTAGTAGTGATGTCATTCTTAGCCAATCATTAAGCAGATGCTTAAAGGTCAAAGATGATTGATGGTAAACAAAAGCATTGTGTGCCATTGTAGCCACGACCCCCTTTTGTTTTGTCTCTTTATTAGTCCCTGTTCAGACACAGTCTGAAAACAGGGACTTATGTTTTGACCTCTGTGTCCGTCCGTGTGTGTGTGTGTGTGTGTGTGTGTGTGTGTGTGTGTGTGTGTGTGTGTGTATGCGTGCGTGCGTGTGTATGCGTGCGTGCGTGTGTATGCGTGCGTGTATGTATGCGTCCGGACCTGTATTTCAGAAATGCCTGGACCAATCAAACTTTACACATACATCATACATGACATTATACATATGCACATCAATTTGTTTCACGATCTGATTTAAGATGGTCGAATGGCAGCCATTTTTGTACTAAAAATCATCAAAATTAGGTATTTCTCGGCTTCTTACAGTTGGATTTTGTTCAAACTTGGTATATACGTTAGACATTACGGGTTCCTGATGCACTTCATTTTATTTTTCAGATTGGAGTCAAAATGGCTGACTGGCGGCCATTTTGTTTTAATGAATGGGCTTCTAAAGCCATATATCTGCCATACTTTTACTGATTATGTTCAAATTTTTAATATTCATTATACATTATGTCATAGATATACAGATATATTTGTTTGACGATCCTATTCAAAGTGGCAGAATGGTGGCCATTTTTGTGCTAAAAAAATCATCAAATATAAAACATTTCTGGATGGATTTCGTTCAAACTTATAACATAAATTAGACATTACGAGTTCCTGATGCACGTCATTTTATTTTTCAGATTCAAAATGGCTGACTGGCGGTCATTTTTTTTTAATGAATGAGCTTCTAGAGCTATTATATCTGTGACATGCTTTGCCGACTTGAGGGTTTTGACTTTTACGAAGATGGCAATGAATGTACAAATAGACAACTATGAACTTTCATAATTTTTAATGTCTAAATTATTATTGATCTTGTATGACCCCTATGTATGTTTAACGCCTGACATTTTAGTTCATTTTGAGTTCCTATTGGGCTTGTTTGTCAATGGGGAAATCCTAATTCAAATGATTCCTCACTGTCGATTTTTAATATTTCTGGTT